ACTATTTTAGAACTGATGTTTGTCCTAGTACTGAGAGTGTGAAATCTTTATTTCGAAGAGCAACCCTTCTCTGCAAGGCAATCTCCCTGGAGTATGAACCAGAAAAAAAGATGACAGAAAATCTGCGTTGCGGCTGCACACGCCATACATGTACTGTATAATTAATAAAAGCTTTCAGTTACAAGAGACAAAATTAGGTACCTCTTCATGATTACAAGCAGCAGTTATAACTGACTTCAAAGGAAACAGCATCACAGTAGCATTTCCAAAACATCTTTTTCAAACTGTTCCAAGAAAGGCAAGAGGTTGAGATTTAGAGGAGAAACTGGACACTCACTTAATTCTTAGTATTTGCCAAAGTTCATGGTTCTTGAATTTCTGCAGAAATAAAATAATCTTAATATTTTCGCTTGAGAAGCAAATTATAGGCCATTTTCAGAACTACAAGCACACTCAAGACATTTTGCCCCTTAATATTCCGATAACTAGTACGTAACATCAAGTCAATGATTTTCCTCTGTGAAGCTCTGACCTCAGTTTCAACCTTCGAAGACAAACTTGACATACTGGTAGAGTTTCACATTTATGCAGATTTGATGATGTCTTGTCTCCTTATTGATTTAAATTTACAGAACACACTGGTTAACCAGTTCAACAGCAATCAAATCCAATGAAAACAGAGTTTACTATTTCCTTCTGCCTGAAGGAGAACACAGGAAAACACTGGGGTAGAAAAAGAGACTATACCATAAAGTATGGCCAATATTTTAAGGGTAACAGCTTGATACCAAATTTTAAATACTTTCTTGTGGGTTACACAGCAGCAGCTTGTGGTTCCAAGCAGTCATAAATGTGCAAACCCAGAAAAGGGCACATTTCCAGCTCCACCCCTCCTCTAGCACGAGTGCAGTGGTTCCTCCAAGGCAAAGATAACCCAGAGGAAATCATTCAAGAGACTGGCGGTAGTTGATTGTATCAGCTGAGGTGCCCATGTATTTTAAACACCACAACTATTATTACATTTCCATTACCTCTCTGTACTCAGCAGAAATTATTTTAGCCCATTTAAAGGCTTAAATTCATACTGCAGTTTTGCTTGGGTTTTGGTTTTTTGCGGTTTTTTTTTGTGTAGGGGTGGGAGGTGGAACAGATAGGGATAAGAGGAAAGTCACTGGAGTCAGCAAAAATTACGCATCTTAGAGATTCTGCGCTTTCTTTTTCTTGAGCAGGTAAATAACAAATCCCTTCTTAGGCATCAGACACTCACATGCGATTTGCAAAAGCCTCAGTTCAAAACACCTGAGAAAGGTACTTCCCTTTGACCATTCAAGTAACTTTGAGACTTGATGCATAAATACTGAAACGAAATCTTATGGCAGCTTCCCCTGCGACACCATTCACAGGGACTGTACTCAAATTAAAATTAATCACACCACAAAAATAATCCACGTCATTTCATGCAGTCTTGTAGACTCACACTGCATACACAAATTTTCAGATATTGATAGCACAGCACATTTTTTGAAAAATTAGCCTGAAAGGTTTGATCTTCACAAACTACTAGTAAAAAAAACAACTGAAGTTCAAGAACAACTAGTTTAAACTTTGGTAGACACGCAAGTAATAGCTTGATCCTGAGAAATGACATTGAATTGACAGAGGAGAATTTTAAGTCCATCATTGTACTCCTTCAATGCATTATGTGTACCTTTTTCTGTTTTAACAATGGATAAAGACTTCCTTCATTTTTAAGAATGCTAATCTGACTTTCATCATTTAGAAGTCAGAACAATTAGAATATCCACCTCACATTTAAAGTTCAAGTGGAAAAGCTGTTTTGTAAAAGCTCAGACAGCTGGAGTCCAATCATATCACACTGGAAATTGTAACAGTTTTTGCATTGTGCTAAAACATAAAGAGAAAAAAATAATGAAGAAACCTATAGAGAGTACACTGATCACCTTCATAAAAAGGTTATTAGAAAGAATGCAAGTGAATATTGTGGCTATTCTCTAAACTAGCTCCAGGCTACTGTCTGAACCATGAGGGAGAACTCTTTGGTTTCACACTTTTATCTGGTTTCGCCCTTAGGATATCTGAATCAGTAGAAACACTACCAGAACTATTGCACAAGTTGATAATTTATATGAAATTAGCATAGTTACTCTGATTTGTAATTGACAAAACAGCTGAAGTACTGTTAATGTGTAGCCTTCTGCTTGGCAGTCAGATTGATATTGTCACAGTGCCAAAATTAGTACTACTTTTCTACACTAACCTAAAAATAGTTGCTATGCTTTGATGAAAATCTGACTTTTATTTTAAACTTTCCGTATCTCTTAGCCCAATGTTATCCTTAATTTTAAGGAAGGTGAATAAATATTCCATTCTATTGTCAAAATAAGCAAGCAATAAACTAATGGTCCTTCTGATTTATAGGAATACTGATATTCCCTATACTAAAAGGTCTGGCGTTAATCGGACAAAATTAATTCCTTCCTCACCTTTCTTGAATTTTAAACTGTGCAGCAGCTATGGAGAATCATGAGCAAAAGAACAACCTAAACAGGACTGTAACCGAGAGCAATTCAAGTCTAAGCATTCACTGAATAAAATATCTGAAAAATATGAAAAGAATTTTAAAACTGACATTATTTCATCCTTTTCTTATCACCTGTCAAGTGCAACTAAGGAGCTGCCCAATATAAGAATCTGCACAGCAGTAAGGCTGATCCAGCATCATTTCTGATATTTTACCTGTGCAGTTACAGCAACAATTCAGTACTTCTTTGCAGATTTTATGCCTGCCGAGCTTAGACTGCTAAAGGTATCCAATCAGGAATGTTAAAATGGACCACGAAGGAAAACTCCACACCTGGAGTTTGGTAAATGGAAAATATTTACCTATATTGTGAAACTGTTTATAAATATTTTGTTCATTGTTTTGCAATCTGTAATTTTTTCTAAGTTTAGAACATGATATAAATCCATTTTATTCAATTGACTTTTAAGATACTGCAAGATGTGTGATGGAATACTAATGTGAAGTAGGACATGTCATTAAGTTGCAATGTAATCACTTCACCAATACTACACCATCCGCAGCCTCATTCACTGATGTTTACTCTTCCTTGTAGCAACAGATACATCCTAAAACCTTCTCAAACCAAACCCAACATGATTCTACATAGAAGCATACTGCAACCTCACACGGTCTATCCATCTTTTTATTCCACCTCACATTTTAGTTTTCAAGATTGTTTTGCTTCCGTTCAAAACATGTAGGTTAGAATCAGGAAGGAACAGAAGGCAAAGTGCAGGAGAAGAGAGAGAAGGAGCACTAACAAGCCCTCATGCAAAGGATGAAATAAAAGTTACAATGCCACAGGGATATGCTCCTTCCCTTTGTAAGGCTAAGCACTCCCTCCCCCTCCCCATAAGTTGCTAGAGGAAACCTACTATCATTACGCACACATAAATATAAACACGAAGTGATTTTCTGCCTTAAAACACTGTGCACTTCCCCATATGTGAGAGGCTAGCAACTGTGCCTTCCTCCTGCATAAAACTATCACTGCAAAGCAATAAGGCATCAGACGCTTAACTGGTAATTGAAAACAGGGATCATACCAATATCCTTTCCAAACATGCCATGCCTGTCCCTACTCACTCCCCCCTTACAAGCCTTGTCATCCTCCTTTCCCAAACATCATGATGCGCCTCTTCCCTGCCACATGCTGTCTCACATCCCCACATGCTGTCCCCACAGAGCAAACCTCAACCACCCTTCCTCCTTTGCCGCACCCTCCACACACACACGCTCCATGACACACCATCTCCACACACAGATGCAGCAAACCTCGTGCCCACCACGTACATCCCACAAATCTATTGTATTTATAAACGATAAAGCATCACAACCAGGCATACCTACACATATAAGCAACAGCCGCTCTATACACACAAAAATACTATAACCTGTATCTGCTACCTACATATAAAAGCACAGATAATCCCTGCCACACCCATAGCATGCATGCCTATAAAAATACCCACGTATTATGCCACACCCAACGTTCACTATATATACACACATACACACAGACACAAGCCCATACCAGACAGTGGAATACAGACACAACTACATACATACGATGTCATGTCATGTCCCTGCACACAACGTCATGCCTCTGCCACAACACAAACACACGCACCCCCGAAGCCCGAATTACAGCAGATACATACGCAGACCGAGAGAGGCATACTGTTACGCTCGTGTCCCACCATACATCAGCTCTATGCACACATCCCAGGCCACACCCTGGCTTATTGCACAGGCATAAAGCGTTACAGCACCCCACCCCACCCCTGCACCCCGTGCATCCACACCGCAACACCCCACGGATGCTCTGTGCACCGACACACACGCAGGTGAGCTTCATCCCTGCTTTACACGGAGGGGGGGGAGACACACACACACACACCCACACACCCCTCTATCTCACCCCAGCCACTTTCCGTACCCATAGCCCATATACACACATTGTCTCTCCTGTCTTGCACAGGGGGACAACACACCCTGACTTGCTGTGCACACAGGGGGACAACAGAGCCCGACCTGCTCTGCACACAGGGGGACAAGACACCCCCGACCTGCTCTGCACGCAGGGGGACAAGACACCCCCGACCTGCTCTGCACGCAGGGGGACAAGACACCCCCGACCTGCTCTGCACGCAGGGGGACCCCTACCATGGCTGCCCCGGCGTTGTACAGGCAGGCACGGCAACCCCCTCACACCTCACCCACAGACACGGCCTCTCCCCGCCTGTGCTACAGCGGGGGTCAACGCAGCCTCAGCTGTTCTGGACAGACGGACGGACAGACAGACTCCCCCCCCCGGGTTACAACGGGGGCCGCCACAGCCCCACTCCCCACGCCAGGCAGGGCCGCGCGTCCAGCACCACACCCGCACAACCCCCCCGCCCGCCGAGACGCAGACCTTAAGGGCCGCCCCGGCCGCCACCCTTCCCCTCAGGGCGAGGGGCCCGGGGGCCGCTCCTCACGGCCCTGTCGGAACTCGCTCCCCGCGGCGGCGCCCGCCCCTCCACC